TTTTTTTTTTTAAACATCGTCTGCATTCTTCACTTCCATCCAGTGGACTGTTTCATACCCAGTCCAAGTCTGCTTTTTTTCAGTTCATCTCAACCCAGTATGCCATTAGTAGCCTTTATTCATCTTTAAGTTTTTATACCATTGTCAGTTTTGTTTCTTCCTGTGTATCCCCACAGGTGTTTTCATTAGAACTTGATAAGAAGTGTGTCTGGCATAACACCTGCCAATAGCAACCTTGGTATGTTTAGTATAGTTTTTTTCTTTATTCTGCAAAAATATTTCTAGCGCCAGACTTCATTTTTCCATGGCCTTCCCTCTGTCATTCCCTTCTGTTCCGTTGAAGTGGTAGTGACCTGTGGCTTGTTAGCAGATACTGCTCACGCCAGTCCTCCTGGGTGGTGGTGAGGTTTGTGAAGCTCCTTGTAGTGTGAAAGGCCTTCGTGAGCCCCTCAGTGCCTCTGAGCACCTCCTTTGTAGTGATTTCTCTGAATGCCCCTTGAGCTTGTGCATTTAGTGACCTGTACAGTCTCTTGTTTTTAGTGGCATAGACTATCACTTGCTCCTTTCAAGAACAACTGTGGGTCAGAACTGTATGAATGAATATTGTTTATGGTACACTAGAGTAAAAAGCCCAAGCAAAATAAATTACACGTGTTGCTCCCTGCACTGTCTTATTTGTCCTCTTTCCCCTGTTTCTTTTATTGCTGCTGCTTACTATGTGTGGCTTGAGCCATAATTGATTTTTTGACACATTCTGTCATTAGTGTCTATTGATGTATGAAGATAATTCAGGTAGGTATCGTTTTCTGGGACTCAGTTATCTAAGTGAAAATCATTCCTGTTAGTCTTCTGTGTAATAGTTGCAATTATTTTATTATTTATTGATTTTCTTCAGTATAATTTGGGAAGAAAAGGAATCACAGATTACTTAGCCAATTTAAGTATAATTTATATATGATTAATCTATTCTGACAAAAGTTTGGTAAAATAAGAAATAGAAACTAAATGTTTGAAGGGCTCTTTATCAACTTAAAATACTAATGCATCTTACACAAACCCTTCCTTTTCTCCTGCCTTAATAAATATAACCCTCCTCAGAGGTCAGCCTGTGAGCCAGATTAGGCCACTGCCTCCCTACAGGCCAGGAGCTAAACATGACTATGTTTTCTCAGGGTTTCTAAAAACAACAAAAGAAGAAGAATATGTGATAAAGTCCGTATGTGGCCCACAAAGCCTAAAGTATTTACTGCTTGGTTCCTCATTGCAATAGTTTGCTCATCTGTGATCTGGCCATTTTGCATAGGCTAGCATTAACATAGAATGGTTAGAGCATTTATATGCTTCTGTGCCCAACGCTGGATCCTTTAGATGATGCCCTATGCAAATATCATTCCTTGGTGCCCTGTTTAACAGTGGCATTTACATAAATGCTTGGATGGGTATTACACATTTTTTATTGAAATTGCAAATTTGACATCTACATTTTATTTGAGCATTAAAATGATCAAATAATTGTAGTGAACTAATAGGCAGTCTTTCTATAACCTTGATTTTTCTTTAAGAAATACTATTATACATACTTTTTTGTTTCTCAGATACAAACTTGTAATGTTCAACTGCTTCACATATTTAAGTTTTAATAGATTAGAAACAATAACAAACCTATGATCATGTACCAAGTTGCTTATTGAGTTATTCTACTCAAAAATGTTTTCAGAGAAAATAAAAGGTCAAGTGAACCAGACATTGGGTTATTTGGTTTAATTTTCTGGAAAATAGGATTGCCTTTATCAGATCGCAGTGTCTCTCAGTCCTCATGCTTGGCTGACAGCTTGACAGTGGTGCTGCTGTGGTGTAGATGGGTGGAGGTAGTTGCTCTGTCGCAAAAAGGGCTGTAAACTGAGCTAGGGGACCAGGGTCACCTCATCTTGACCTGCTCATCAGTGACAGGTTTTCTCAACATCAGAAAATGCAGCTGCATGATTTCCTTTCATGCTAAATTTGACTTGGAAAGCAACATGTGGAGCAGGGCTACTGTAGGGTGTGACATCTCAGCACAGTGCCTGCTCAGTGAAGCTGCAGTGTATGCCAGGCATCCTCCTCCACCAGGACCGTCAGAACACCACAGCGGCATTTAAAAGAGGAGGGAGAGCAGACCTGCTCACATATAGCATAGAGCTCTCTCCAGTTGATCTTTGTAATACTTAGGCATAAGTATTACAAAGATTCCTTGCTAGGGAAGAATGTTCCTTTCTGTTTAACGTAGTAAGTTGAATTTCAGCTTTGGTGTGTAGAAACATTTTATGTCACTGTTACCACACAATTCATTTTGAAACATTACAGAAATTACTTTCTCTTCACTCTGAGTCAACCAAGACAAACTACAGTAGCTAGGTTTTTTTCCCCAAATATATTCCTTTTTCTTTCTCCAAATGTATTTCTTTGATAGAGGAGCAGTCTGTTTATTTTAGAATTTCAAAGAAAATTTGAGGTGGTTTATTGAAAGAAAAAAAGATAAAAAATAACAAGATCATAAATAACTAATTAAAAGGAGCAGAGATATACATTAGCAGGCATTGAGGATCTTTTCATAGTGCATTTGAGTACCAAACTTACTCGGAATTTTCTGACCAATTATCTGAAATGCTTGGGACCCAGCAGTGTTTCAGATTTCAGACTTTTGCAGATTTTTAAATATTTGCATTACATAGTTACTAGTTGAGCATCCCAAATCTAAACATCTGAAATCTGAAGTACTCTAATGAACATTTCCTTTGAATGTCATGGGGGTGCTTCAAGTTTCAGATTTCGGAGCATGTAGGTTTTTCAGATTGGAGATACTCAGCCAATGGTAATGAGACCCAGGATGCCTCAGTTCTCCCTTTTCTTTTTCAATTCAACTGTTCTTACCACTCAGTCTTGAAGACAGATGATTATGTGTGTTACGCGCCTTTTTTTTTTTTTTTTTTTTTTGAGATGGAGTCTTGCTCTGTTGCCAGGCTAGAGTGCAGTGGCACGATCTCGGCACACTGCAACCTCCGCCTCCTGGGTTCAAGTTATTCTCCCGCCTCAGCGTCCCAAGTTGCTGGGACTACAGGTACGCGCCACTATGCCTAGCTCATTTTTGTATTTTTAGTAGAGGCAGGGTTTTACCATGTTAACCAGGATACTTTTGTTCTCTCTCTTTTTGTTTTTATTATTGCATTTTAGGTTTTGGGGTACATGTGAAGAACATGCAAGATTGTTGCATAGGTACACACATGGCAGTGTGATTTGCGTCCTTCCTCTCCATCACCTATATCTGGCATTTCTCCCCATTCTATCTCTACCCAACTCCCCACCCGCCTATGTCCCTTCCCTGTTTCCCCCCAACAGACCCCAGTGTGTGGTGCTCCCCTCCCTGTGTCCGTGTGTTCTCATTGTTCAGCACCCACCTATGAGTGAGAACATGCGGTGTTTGATTTTCTGTTCTTGTGTCAGTTTGCTGAGAATATAGGTTTCCAGGTTCATCCATGTCCCTACAAAGGACATGAACTCATCGTTTTTGATGGCTGCATAGTATTCCATGGTATATATGTGCCACATTTTCTCTGTCTAGTCTGTCATCGATGGGCATTTGGGTTGGTTCCAAGTCTTTGCTATTGTAAACAGTGCTGCAGTGAATATTTGTGTGCATGTGTCCTTATAGTAGAACGCTTTATAATCCTTTGGATATATACCCAGTAATGGGATTGCTGGGTCAAATGGAATTTCTATTTCTAGGTCCTTGAGGAATCACCACATTGTCTTCCACAATGGTTGACCTTTTACACTCCCACCAACAGTGTAAAAGTGTTCCTATTGACTTTGTGATCTGCCCACCATGGCCCCTCAAAGTTCTGGGATTCCAGGCTTGTGCCACTGTGCCTGGCTGGCTGTTAGGTACTATTTTAGTGGTGTTAAGCTGAGTAACTTAAGACTGGTGTCTGCTGAGTACCATGTACAGGGTGGCATGTTTTTTTGTTCCTTTTTAGCAGTGAAAATAATATGACCATTTTAAAAAGCTGTTTAAAAATGTCATTTTGATGTAATGTATCTCCACCCTAAAATGGCCTACATTTTAACTAGGTTTTTTTTTTTTCTTCTAGCCATCCATCAAAAACTAGAAGCAGATGGAACGGAAAAAGTAGAAGGATCCATGACGCAGAAACTGGAGAATGTTCTGAACAGTAAGTTTTGTCCTACTACCCAGAACTATTTATGGACTTTACAACATGCTTTAAAATAATTCTTGGACCACATATCACAGGACAAGGCAGTAAGTTGCATTGTAGTATTTATTTCTAAACAGTAATGATTTAATGAACACAAAGGGGAATAGAAACATTGAAAATGAATGTTCTCTTTCTGCTTGCATTTTATTTATGAGAAATCATAATTTGAAAACAATCCAATATACTTCTTAAGAAATAAAGTTTGCTACCATAAAACCAACCAGCATATAAACAGCATCTTAAAAGCTAAGAAAGCGCTGAAGCAGTAGGCAGGATTGTCATTGACCAGAGACCTGGAGGAGCCATCGTCAAGTATCTCTCAGTGTTAATGCAAATAACCTCCGCCAGGAGAATAACAGCTTCCTAGGTGTCATTTATTTGTGTATACCTTGCCTTTTTCCAAAAAAAAAATTTAAGGCAGCTGGCTATTTAAGAATGTGTGTAAACCTGAGATATTTTGTAAAAATTATAGACCCAGGGAAAATGGACATGTGCAGAGTTTTGAGTCCTGTCCACCTCTCTTGTCTGTCTTTTTTCTAACATCCCAGTTCCCAGCTGCTACTTCTATTGATTTGGGAGAAACTTATCAGATGAATTAATTCTTACTATGGTATTAGTGGCTAAAAAATGAATCATCCTCTTTTCATACTTATAGTTTATGTTTGATATGAATGCCCATAGGAATCTCCTTATTTTTAAATATAACATACAATTTTATCATGAAGTAGAGTTAAGAATAATTGGAAAAATGAAGAAACCTCACACCAGATCTTTAAAGATTCTGTGAATGTAGGGCTACCATATGAAGCTAGTTTTGCCCTTCCAGCTTAAGTTAGTCCCATGGGAGGAAAGTTCTGAGCTTTTATGTGAATATCGTTTCACAGACCTGAGTAATCCCTAAAAGAAAGCATTTTCTAGAAAGAAGTGTTCTTTTGGTAGTAGAATTTGAGTACTTGGATTTCATTCTAAAGTTAGGAATTTAACATCACTTAATTTTTTTGCTCTGATTATTATTACTTAATTGCCTTGAGATTTTCCCTTGTTTTTATCTTTGAGAACTAAGTCACCAATATTGTTAAAGTGAAGATATTCTGAATTCAACTCATACTTACTGAAGCTGTTTCTATATTAGCTTAGTCACATTTTAAGGTCTTGGAAGGGAAGGACAGTTTCTATTCAAGGTTGTTATTTGCCCTGGAGAAATTATCAGAATATGATCTCTGTACAGAAAAACATGATTACTTCAGTAATTTTTAAAGGTGGCTTGTAGAAACCGTTGACATAGTAAGTATATCATGGTATCAGTAAAAGAGATCCTTGATCGGGTCTAGGAAATTCTAGGGTCTGCTTCATATGTTAGGCTTAGCATAGAGTGTAGTGTGGTAATGTAATTTTTTTTTACTTTAAAGGAGTAGTTTGAGAAATTGTCCTTTGGGACTTGGGGTATTAAAAATTGACTTTTTCCATATATTCCTTTATAACCATGAATTTTTTCCAGAAAAATGTAGTATTAACTTTCTATTGAAGTTTGCTCTTTTTGGATAAAGTTCAGCTTAATATAAATGGTCACTTCTTTATGCGTCCATTCGTCAGGAGTTTTTGGTATTAAAATTTCTCTAAAATATATTTCTTTATAACAATTCCCTCGTTTTCAGAAACATTCTTTAACAATATGATGTTGATGTTTGCTATCCTGGGATATGTTTTTCCTAATTGAGGTCAACTTGACAAACGTTTATTTAACTCTGGTTGTGTCAAGTCCTGTGCTCAGCCAGCCTGGGAACAAAGCCGGAGGGGATGCAGCTCTGGCCTTGAGAGAGGCCTGCCCAGGCGGGTCTGTAGTTATGTGGGACTTCACTACTACGGAACCAGTGAACACACAGAATTAGAGTCAGGAAAATTCAGTCCACTCTGTTGAAAATTTCATTTATTTTAGAAAGGAAAGGAAAAATAAATGAGTTCGAGTGTAATTTAGTTCGCTTTGATTATTACTAATGCTTTTTACTTTACGTATAACTATATACTAATGTATATGGGTATTTAGTTTTTTTAAAAGATAATTTTTTAAAAGAAATTTGGGCAGTTTTTCTAACTTTTAAGCTAAATGTCAAAAGGATACTGTTGACTGCAAGAAACTTAGGTCATTTATTCAGAGTTTATCCATTTTGACACCTTTTATTGAAATTATTTTTTGTTTTCATCATAGGTGTTTCTCATGTTTGTGTTTGAACTTAGTAACTTTTTCTTGATTTCAAGCCAGTGATGACTATTAGTTTATTTATGTCAGATTCACATCTTCAGCTCTGTTCTATACAGTTTCAAGTGTATGGAACAGCACTGTGTTCAATAGAATTTCTGCAATGATGAAAATGTAGCTACTGAGCACTTCCAATGTGACTAGTACAGCTGAAAAATTGAATTTAAAATTTAAAATTTTTATTTAATTTTAATTAATCCAACTTTAAATTGAAATAGCCTGGTGTGGCTAGTAGTTACTGTGCAGATGTTGCTCTAAACGATCTAGGTAATATTTAGTCCTCAAAACAACCCTTTAAGGTTTGTGCTATTATCTTCATTTTTATTGATGAAAAAACTAAAGCCCAGAAGATGAATTGAGCCACGTAAGGTTATATGAATAGTAAGTAGCAGAGCTGCAATTTATATCTAGAAGTCTGGCTCTGTTCTTTGCTTTGAACTGCAGGCAGGCCGTGCTGTGTATGTGGTTTTGATAGGCACAGGTTTCAGTCACTGTGGTTCAGTTCATAACAGCTGTCCCCTAGCAACACCACACAGGACTGCAGTTCCCACAGGCACTCACCACAGCTGCATAAAGCACAGCTTTCCTCCAGCTCTTTCATTCACAGGACACTATGTAAATGACAGGTGCTCTAGATGAGCAGCCACACTGCCCCCTTCAAGGCCACCAGAGACGGTCACTGTGCATCTGTTACCAGCTCTCAGCAGACAGCAAAGCATGCAGTTGTGCTGCCTCCTTATCTCCCAGTGATAAACCCTACTGACGTTTTACAAAAATGGATGATAGGGAAGGGATTGGCCAATAAGAATGAAAGTACATCAAAAATCAAAAAGCTCTAACACTGAAAGTGAAATGCAGATCGAACAAGTGGAGAGTGACAGAAGGAATGGGTGACTGTGGGGATGTGGGCCTGTGCCATTGGAGACTCAAGTAATTCGGTGGAGGGGAGCTTACCAACATAGGTGAAGAAGAGTGAGGAAAAGCATGAGGTTGTCCCAAAGGAAGTAATGCTCAGAGAGCCTCAGAGATGTTTCGTGATGTGGACAGTGGAAAGGAAAAAATGTCAGAAGTTGATTCACACTTAAAAAGGAGCAGGGTAATCTGTTAAATTTGTAAACTTTACAATAAAAAATAAGGTAAACTTTATAACATACTGTAAACTTTACAACAAAAAATAAGGTAAACACTACTGATAAGTTTAGAAGTATAACTAATTTTAAATGTTTCTGATGTTTTTTTGTTTCTGATGTTTTAAATTATATATTACATATTAGTTATACTTTTAAAATGTTATTCATTCATAACCAACAATAAGTGAGTTTTTAATGTTTCAGCAGAATTTTTGGGTATCACAGAACAAATGTAATTTTCCCATTGATTGTTAGATCGTCATGCTGGGTTTTAGCTTGCACAGCCATTATCACAGTCTTGCATGCTGTGCAAAGCAAGGCCTGCCCATGGGGTGTTGTACTACCTCTCTTAGTGGTAAGAATACTGATCATTGATTCAGAGAGCAATTTTTAGTCCTTCCTCTGTAAGCGTTTATTGAGCACATGTTTGTTTTATCCTAGGGATAGAAAAATAAAATTTGTGCTTTACTTCTACAGATTACAACCGAATCAAAATTCAGACACATATTCAGGTGATCAAATGATGGTGTGATAATTCTGCTCTGGTGGGAGTCCTCAGGTGTGTGGCTAGAGCCCACAAAAGGGTCAGCAAGCCAAAAAGTTGAGTGCAGAGAATACCACGGGAGGGTTCCAGGAGCCCTAAGAGAGGAGCAGGAAGTAGACAAGCAGAGGTTGGTGGTGGGCAGCTGAGTGGAGGGATGCAGGTGCGTCCCACCAGGGCTGTCATGTGACAGGGAAGCACTGAGTCCTGAGAGGAGATGGGCTGCCACCCAGGAAGCAGGGGCCAGTGTGGCTGTGTGCAGATAGAGGTGCGACCGCAGGTAGACGGGATCTGCCCATGACCAACTCGCTGTGTGGTAGTGTGGAATCTGTCTTTATCCCGAAACCATTGAAGGAGCTTAAATAAGGAACAATGGGAGATTTTTAAAGAGTTATCTGCCATCTGTAGAGAGAATGGATGAGAAGGGAGTACACCGGAGTCAAGAAGAGAGAGCAACCAGAAGTGGATGGTGGTCCTGTTAAGCCATGTAAGCTGTAACATGTGTAGCAATGGAATCAAGTAATGTAAGGGTGACATGGCTGCTAGTGAAGGTAGAGAGAGTGGCAGGTGAGAAAGGTTAAGGGGCAGGGAAGGTTTGATATGTGACATAAGGAAAAGGAAGTAGTCACTGGTCACTTCCAGATGTCTGGCCTCAGATGGATGAAGGAGCATGTTTGGGGCATGAGGAGAGGCATAGAGATGAGAACATTCAGTTCAACTTACAGCATGTTGAATTTGAGATTCCTGAGGGTCATGCTGACAGAGATCTTGCCTGTGTGACTGTCACTATGTCCCCACTGTGTCACACTGGGCACGTTGAATGACCTCTGTATCTCAGTTGCACGCAACATAAAACTGGGGTAAAAACAGTGCCTGCCTTACAGGGACATAAGCATGTGCAGGTGAATTAACACACATGATGGTTTTAGAACCACCCTAGCATAACATCAGTACTCCATATCATTATTAGCTGTCATTAGTGTATATTTTTAAAGATTGGTCTTAAGTTCGCAGACACGTCTTGAAACAGATTTGGGAGTCACCAGCATAAAGATGGTAGTTGAACAAACAGGATTGAATGGTTTAACCCAAGTACTATGTGCAAAATGAAAGAAGAAAGCTAAGGGTTTGGAAGACTAGGGAATATCCAGAAGAGCCAGGATGTGGAAAAGAAACTGACATTTACTCAGTGGCTGCCTGGCAAATATTTCACAACAGGCATTCAAAACAATGAAAGAAAGAAAAGAAGGAAAGAAAATTAATCCTAACGTTAGCATTTCCCAGCCACCAAGGTGTAAATACTCCCATTGGGGTTGGTTTCAAGCTGCCAACTCTAACTTGAATGTGAAGAGATGCTGACTGTTGCACTTGAGAGGTGTATGTGCTGACGTCAGCTCTTTCCTCATTTCCAGTTCCATATACTCCACACAGAGTATCAGGCATGGTACTGTTAACGATACTGTCCATGAAGCATTGTTATGGTATAGCCAGCAGCTATCTAGTAATTTTCTGGTCTGTTGAAATTGAGGTAGTTAGGTCTCTTTGTAGTCCTGGTTTTGCTGTGAGTTTGTACATTTTAGAGTTACCCTAATTTTCCAGGAGCACTAATGTTTCATTACCTAATCTCATTAAACTTGCTTATTCCTGGGATAAATTGTGCTATGGTGGGTGGAGCAGCTAGTGAGGGGGTGTTACTTCTATCCTGCCTCTGACCTCCCCAGTTCCCATCAAGAGGAGAGCACAGATTAGAAGTCACTTCTGTGATTTGTCTCAAGTGTCAGTACCAAGGAAGGGACCAAATGGTCACTTTGAAATAAGAGAAAGCATAATATTTACTTTAAATAAACATGCTTGAAATTAGAAGACACCATTAGAATTACAGGATTAGGTTTTCTAGACGACCGGAGTTCCTGCACATATAAAAATGTTTTTTCCATTGTTCTAGGATGTAAGATCATTGGGCAGGTATGAGTTCCACTGATTGATGTGTAATGCTACCTGGACTTTCCATCTTGTACTGTAGGAAAATTACCTGACTACACTGGCGGCAGCCACACTGTTTTAATAACAGCATTGCTGTTAGTTCTTGCAGTTCCTGTGTGACTGAGACAGTGAGAGTCATTGTCCAAGCTCACTAGTGTTGGAGATCATCTTTGGGTGATGAGAAAGGACCAATTTCCAGACCTTGGTGTGGCCAAGGCTGGCGAATGTAGATGAAGTTTTGTTCTGTAGCCTATGAGGCCAAAGTCATAGCCATCCACTCCAGTTAGACTTGTTCCAGGTTGTACATTAATATTCAGACCCCACCAGCTTCCTTAAAATTGGGTGTTCTTGGTGTGAGAATGTGTGTGGATTAGCACATGGGGATTTTTACAGGATGACCTTTATTGACGCCTTCTTGGTGGCATTATCTGTGACATCAGCCTCACATACGAAGAGCATCCCTTTTCTTTAATAGATTTATTTTCTTATTAGTAGCCCTAGAGAAGAAAGACATAAAATGCATTTTGTGAGCTGCTGGTGATTTTTGTCTATTTGCACAAATGTTGGTTTCACTGCTCTCATGTATTTTATTACTGAATATATTATCTAATAATCAGAATTAGGAACTTTTATTGTGAATTTACAACAGAATAATAATGTATAGACATGTTATCTCTAAAAATTATAATCTCATAACATAATTTCTCAAGTATTTGCATAAATTAAAATTCTCCACATATAAGTACATATATTTTGGCATACATAAACTTGAAATTTTATAGTTTTAATTTCTGCATATAAATTTTTCTATATGTCTATATTTTATTTACCTATAAGTAGGTTTTCTTGCTGTGCTTGTTTTCATACTTTTCAGAGGAGTTAAAATTAACAGTTGATAACGTTTTACCCCTTTAAAAATAAAAGGAGAAAAACCTAATTTTGAACTCACTTACTTTTTGCCCCAAATTTCATTATACTAAAGACAAGTAAAAAATTAAAAAAAAAAAGTTGCTTGGTTATTTAACATCCAAACTTAACATATAAGTAA